CCAACCATTAAAGGCAGTTGTGCAGTTTATATTTTTCAAATCAAAGGTATAGTAACAAGTGCCATATTGGAGACCTCGAGTGTAAAGATATCAAATGATTCAAGACTTTCAATAGTAAGTCTTGTTTCTGTGTTTACCGTATCAATCAATCATTTTGTTATTTTAATGATAAGGAAGTAGAATTTTATTTATTTATTTTGTATAAAAGTTTATATGTGAAAGCTATTGAAATTTTCCCAATGCGTGTTATATTGACCAAATACAGTATGCAGAAATGTATATTAAGGTAGATTAAGTATATCAACACAAACAGCTGGAAACAGAGATTATATCACTACGTGAATACAAAATTCTCCCTCATATTGCATGTTGGTGACCTGATTCTAATATGTTTTACTAATTATTGGATTAAATTAAACACAACTAGAATAAATTATATTTTTTTTTATATGACCTATTCTTAAAATTAGAATTTTTAATGTCAAGTTATTATTATACCTGTATATCTGTTGTTATACATAATATTCGAAGTAAAAAGCTAATACAAAAATGTTTTCAATCGTTACAATTTTTGACATTTCAACCTATCATGTCTGTTTGTTTTGCTCACACATTATTTTCAATATATTGGAATTTTATGCGACTGTCATACAAGTGAGAGGTTTAGCTAGCTACAAAAAAGGTTTAATCTACCATTGTCCACATAAAGAAAAACCTGTAACAAGTCAGGAATATGACAGTTGTTTTCCCTTCGCTTGATGTGTTTGAGATTTTGATTTTGCTATTTGATAAAGGACTTTTCGTTTGTGTTAAGCTTTTAATTAATTTTATATACCACTTTGAATATTAATCAATTTTGATTTATTTAAATGAAATCAAGTGCTTACATGTAATATAGGGTAAGTGCACGTATAGATTTTTATATTGCACGAACGTTCGAGTGCAATATCTATTCAACAAGGGATGATATTAACAAGTATTCATACAATAACCCTTTTGTTGTAAAATAAATATTGAAAACTGTTTGAAAGATTTTTTTTTTTCACTCATGAGGTCGAAATGAAGGTATTTTGCAATAGTGAAATGAACGCTAACTTGTGTTAAGTTCTGTGGAAGATATTGTGTTGCTGTACAATAATAAAGAATATATCCAGAACATTTTGATGTACACTTCTGGCAAGCTATTTTGATGCATAGTCCTATCGTTTGACATATCTTTTAAATCAAGTGCGGAATATGTACTGCTCAGCTGAAGCTCAACGACTGATATTTGAACTCTAGGCGCTGCAGATATAAACTCGAGTGCAGGATATTGAAACTTGAACGATAACGACGCTGCAAAGTTGTAAAGTCTAGCAAAGCGGATATTTTAACTCGTGTGATGGATATTTCAATCCAGTGCTAAAGTTGAAAAATTCTAGCTCCAGCATACTTAGGGATGGTCAATCAAGTGCTAGTTTTGTAGATGTAACATTCAGCACTTTAGATATAAAGGGAAGCTCTGCAAAATTGTAATCACCAGAGATGAAGATTTATATCCAACACTGAATTTGCAAATGACACCCTTGGAAATACAGTCCAACACTGTAAATATGCAACCCTGGGCTGAAGATATTAATTTCACCTCTTAAGGTAATTGTATTAACAAACAATTCTCACTGTTTCAACCTACCTGTTGGCTTCATACAACTATAAAAAAAATCGCAAACGCCTGAGATGTAGAATCTATTTATGAAGATGTACAGGCTAATTATGAAAATGCAAACCTAGTACTGAAACACAATTCTAGCGCTCAATATTTTATGCCAATCGCTAAAGATAATTGCACTAGTGCGATGAATGTGTAACGATTATCACTGGAGGGTTTTAAAACACACAGAGCTTTGATAACCAAGTCATGTGCTGAAGACATAAACTTCAACGCTTAAGATTTGAAGTCCATTGCTGCTGATAATCATCTCCACCGCTCAAAATATGAACTCGATCGCGGAAGATATCTTAACGTTAGATATTAATATCAGCTCTGCAAATGTAATGCCAAGTGATATATACTTTGAAAATATAATCTAGAGCACAAGACATTAAGTTCCAGAGCTAGAGATTTAAAAGTAACCTACAGCGCTTAAGATTCATACTAGAGCGAAGGAGATGTTAGGTTTAACGCTGCAGATTTGTAAAATACATTTGTGAAGATTAAAATCCAGCTCTGAAGTTGTAGAGTGTAGTTCTAAAACATAAGTAGAACGCTGTAGATAGAATTTCAGCGCTAAAATTGTAAACTCCAGATTTAAAAATTGAGACTAACTATATATACTGTTAATCCGTTAATGTACAATATGGCTCTGAAGATAAATGAATAAACTCACCATAGATACTAGGTTTACATTTTGAACGCCAGACGCGCGTTTCGTCTACAAAAAACTCATAAGTCCCACTTGAATATAAGAAGGAAAAAAGAATAAATAAAGAACGAAGTGTACGAGCATTAAGAACCAAATTCCAAAAGGTTATTACAGAATACAGCTTAAGTAATCTATTCCATTTGGTAGACGCTCCTTGGTATTTGAACGACAACCAAGATAAACATTTAAATGAGAACTCAGCCCTATAACACAGGACATTGATACATTTAAATAAACTCTAAAAGTAAACTGAAAAAGACATGACTCATCAAATCGGTATCAAACAGAAAAACAACTTGCAATATATAAACATGATAAAAGCCATAAAGTACAGTTGGGTGCAGACCAAGCATCACATGTAGACGGGCAGAAAACGTTAACGCGGCGTTTACTCGCGTGCATTTCATGTAAACGCTGCGTAAACTCTGCGTTCACTCCAAAATCCAATAGACATTAAATGTAAACGGGCGTTTACTTTCACGTATACCTCCGCGTTAACGTAAAAAAACGGCGCGTCTTCTTTTCTTGTAAAAAGTAAACGCGCGTTTACCGGTTGCAGTAAACGTTAATGCAGATTGACATCGTATCCCTGATACACCGACCTATCATGTGACATGACTAGCTACGTAAAAATGTGTAACTGCACAATTTCGCCAAATATATAGATTAACGATCACAATGTATGACACGTATTAAATTAATTGAAATTTCAGAACTGTACATAAGTAACAAAAAGATATTTCTTCTGGAAGCGTAAACTTTTTTTTCATTTTTTTATTAGTGGAAATGAATTTTAAAACGATGACATGGTCCGAAAACAAAATTTTTAAATGCACGTTCTGTTCTGTACAGGTATGATCCTCCGTTATGTATTAGAGCACTATAGACTTAACACTTATTTACAAAGATATTTACATAGTGCATGATATTTCTTCATGCCTGACCAAGATTAATTTGCTGTAAAGAATGTTGTCAACAGTTGATCACTTACACCTATCGCTATATTAAATATTATTTTTACATCTGCTAACAGTTTTGCATTACATGTATTCATTTTGGTATGTTTTTTACAAACATTTTGTGTGAAACAATAGCAATTCATTTATTATTTCCAACATAAAAATTTGCAGTTGAAGATTACACTTTTTTGATTATCTTGTACTAGCCCGATTATCGAATACTTTTTATACCTACACCTACAAATGGATTGTTTGTAGGCATCAACAAAAGGTGCCAATATATATGTAGGACTCCAAAGTGCGATGGCACTCTAAAGTGCTATGGTCACGCTAAAGTGCGATGGTCTACGCTAAAGTGCAATGGTGTAAGACCCTAAAGTGTGATGATTGTTTGTTTTTTTAAGTGCGATCAGATAAAACGCTAAAGTGCGATGGTATGACACGCTTAAGTCCGATGGTGTAACGAAAATGTGGTTCAGGCAATGGTTTTCGTTTGTTATACTACATCTTCTTGGTTTTTTTTAAAGTACGATAATTGTCCAAAAAATGTAATGGTTACATTGCAATAGTTAGTTTATTCGGAATTTAGTAGTAGTCGTTTGTTGTCAGCATCAATATATGGTGCCACTATTTTCCTTGTTTCTTGAATATAATGTACCGGAACTCAAATTTGGTTCTTTTTGGTACATCAGGATGAATGGTTTTACAAAAATTGAGAGCTCTTCAAGTCTATGGTTACTTATACTTATGTTCATAACAATAAAAAGTGACAATATTTCTTATTTTTTATAATTTTCTTGCAGGAGCATGATATTTGAGTATTTTTTACCTCCTGATGGACTTTCTTATATGAAAGGAAAGAAGTTTTAGTTTAAACTAAAATCATTTTATGTCATCTGTTTTATTTCAAGTCTTGTCGCATTGTCTTGTTAAATCTCCAGTAATGAATATTGTTGTTAACATATAAAACTTTCTTTTTTTTTTTTTTTTTTTAAAGTTTTGCAGTATTTAATGATAAATTATGTTATGTGTCTGTGGTTTAATGTTGCAAAATTTGTTGTCGGCATTAATATAAGATGCCAATATTTTACCTTTTCTTAAAATATTATGTAACAGCATTACAATTCTGTTCTTTTGGTACGTCACGAGGGATATTTTTACACAATTGTAGAGCTCTTTAAATCTACGGTTACTTATATGTATGTCGATAACATTAAGCTTTGCTAATATTTTTTTTTATATAATTAAAGTGTGTACCATTGTACTTGCTAAATGTATTCTCTTTTTATACCTTAGGATGGATTGTTTGTCATAAAAGGGAAGGAATTATTTCGACGATTGTTTTTAATAAAAAAAATCAATTTCTGTTTTCTAAAGGGATGAACAGGTTTAATAAATTTCACACTACAATTCGTATATATAGATGTCGATCAACACCATCATTTTTAAATGCAGTTAACCATGAACTTTGTCAAATATTTTGAAATGAGTGTATTGTCTGAAAACAAAATTTCATAGATCATTTTATGTCATCTGTTTTATTTCAAGTCTTGTCGCATTGTCTTGTTAAATCTCCAGTAATGAATATTGTTGTTAACATATAAAACTTTCTTTTTTTTTTTTTTTTAAAGTTTTGCAGTTTTTAATTATCCAATAATTCATGAAAATATTTTTTTAGCCAAACTTTATTCATTTGCAACATATGAATAAACCCTTTAAAAAATCAAGATTAACATAGCTCATTAGACTCTGATCATGCTGATAGAACGTACTTTTAAAAAAATGTGGTTTTAGATTCAAACTTTGAAAATAAAAAAAATGTCTAACAAGAAAAAAAAAGTATCCTATAATTTCCACAAATAGTTAACGGGAAGAGTAAACGCGTGTTTTCTAAGTGCACGTACAGGTAAAGATGTAAAGGTTATTGCAGCAATAAACTTAGATATCATAACTATAACGCATTGGTTGTTAATATGACACAAGTATTTTGAGAAAAGAAGAATCCTATGTAATGGTAAACGATATATATCAATAGGATGTTGCATCTAAAGCTTAAAAGCTGCTTACAATTATAAATTTTCATCCGTTTTAAAATATTTTTCCCGGTCAATACAATCGTTGTACGGCTAGATAACGGAGAAAAGAAACGGGATAACAAAACATGCCATTTACTTTAACTAACAATCATTTAAGTTCGTAGAGACTTTTTTAGATAATTGTGTGATGAACATTCGCACGACTGTTAACGATATCAGACAGAAAAAACAATAGTTTTCTTTAGAAATCATTCACATGAGCACAGTTTCAAATGTTATAAGGATAGTTAAAACTATATGTACTGCAACCATTCATCTCTGCTTTGCTGATAGTTGTCGTCCCTTCTTCTTCGATACGTTTCACGTTTCATTTCGTCAGGATGAAAATTATTGCCACATCTACTTGCATAAAATTCCTCGGCGTTATCGACATTTTCCTTCGGAGGATGTTCACTATCTTCGTGATCTTGGATAACAGAAATTGCCGTAATTCGGTTTCGTTTCCGTTTCCTTTGACCAAAGCGTATTCGGAAGTGAATGCAACAGTTGAGTATATCTATGGCGATCAAGAAAACCATTGGAAGAATGAGAAAAACAATGCATCCCCATCCTATAGATTGTGCAGATTTTCTTTTGTTTACCGAGGATTTTTTCTTTCGTACCTCCTTTGATACAGTTTTCTTGTCAACTGAGATCTCGAATTTTATGTTCTTGTTGAAATCTTCGAGAACCATTTCCTTTACTTCAGCATCTGTTATTTTCTTTCCATCAAGAAAGTGCCATTTTGTATTTATTTACCTCTTTGGACATTTACATAACAGTTTCCGTGGTCGCGTTCCTGGAATAACAACATGATATTATATGTATCCTTGTGTAATATCTTATGTTTTACATATTTAGTTAATAGAATAACAACCAAATAAATTTAATTCAGTAGCTAAAAAAAAGAATACACAGTAGGTTTATATAACAAAAGGAACTAAAGTGTACTAATAAGTTAATACATTTATGATACAAAAGAAATACATCAAATACAATAAGTACACATTATCCCAGGTTTAAGATATAAGAAAAAAACTGACGTAATTCAGTTGGCAATGCTATACCTGTTGATGCATGTGTTACGGTCTCAGTAAAATCAGTTGATATAGATGTTTGTGTATTTTCAGAAGTCGAAGTCATTGATTTTCTCGTATTTAAAGACGTACTGTTTGTTACTGTTGCTGGAGATGTGTCGGTGCTTATCATCTGCATGAAGGTTGAAGTAAATGGTTCTCCTACAGCCATAGGCGTTATATTAGTAGTTTGTGTAACTTAAGCAGTTACTGTGTGCTGTGGTCGATCTGTGAAAGCGAAAAAAATGATTGGCAACATAATACAATTACAAGCTCAAAACTACTAGTATCATTTATGTTTAGTAGTAACTTGCCCATCTATTTTCTTTGAAAGAAAATGACTAAAATGGTTAAATCAGAAAAAAAAAACAACAACTAAAAACAAACAGCATAAAATACTGCAAAGTTCTTAATTGTTTCATGCAAACGCAGAAAACATTTCTTTCATTAAATTGCAACTGAAACTTAACGATATACATGTGCACTGACCTAGATATCGTTTTTGTTATTAACATATCTTCCCTTTGATCTTTGGGAAAAGTTGTGTCATCTACAATCTCACAACATGTCACATTCTTACTATTCCTGGCAGTTTACGATAAGTTACTTAAGCAAAAATAAAATTGACATCAAAGTTGACTCAAATTGGATTTGATAGTTTTTATATATTGCGAATTTGGCTACCTAAACTGTGAGCTTTACATAAACCTGATGACGGTAATGTCAGAAATACAAGTATACGAAAGAAAAATTGTTATACACATCATTTCGCCTCTCTTTTTAACTTTTCTTGTATATTCAGATTACTTTTATATATATTTCTTTTAAGTGAATATCAAGTAAATGTAAAAATAATAGATATTGAAAACATTGCAAATCTGTAACTAAGAAATAAACAAAAAATATGGCATTACTGCATAACATAAACAATAGAAATCTCAACTGATGCTTTACCCATTTACGTATAGCAATATTGATTGTTTTTAATTTCTAGACAGACTCTTTGTATTTGGATTCTTTGACGTTTGAATGGGTCTACCAAATGAAGATTATTTCAAATGTAACTTTTGGGCGTATTGAAGTACGAATCAAACGTTTAATGTAAAGCCAAATGCGTGTTTATTAGTATTACAATATGACAGAAAATCTTGAAACAGATGATACATATTTTGGACTATCGTTCGATAAAGCAACCCGGTGACATTTAAAAGACAGCGTTAATCTTTTACATTGCAAAACATATCATTCGGCTGACATTCAAAAACAGATAAGATGCAACTACTATTGTTTATACATAATTTAGATACAGTCATCTTTGTGTTACTCCAATCTGGTCGGCGATAAAATAATCAAAAATAATTCAGAACATCACGTTAGAGCGTCATTGTGAGACACCCTAAGGTAGCCATCGTAAATACCATAAAAACACTATTGAAAATACTAATTATAACTTTGTAATTGTATAACAAAACGATTTAAAATGTTATGAAGAATCGCTAGGAGTGCAAAAATTAAAGTAATACGTTGCATGACAATTTCATGGTTATTGGATCCTGCGATTAAAGATGTAAGTGATTGTAAGCTGTTCTGGAATATCTTGACACAATTTTAATATTCTTTGTGAAGGAGAAATTGTTATTGGTAGTTTGCTGAAACATAGATATACTTCAGCATTTTATTCTGATTTAACTAAACATTTCTACTTAGGTTTATATTTCCCCGTTCATGGGTATATTTCTATGAAATAACAGTCATATTGGTAAAGACAGAAATAACATAAAACCCTAACTATTTGGTACAACCTTAGTAATTTTGTCGAGCACAAAAACGATATTTACGCAATGAGTGTGTTGTGAGTTTTTTTTTTTTTTTTTGCTGGTTGATGTGCCCCTTTTTGACAAACTTAGGCAGTTAGTGTTTAATTCGGCGCAGGTTTCGTATGTTTTATAAAACTGATATGAATTTCTTATACGTCAGAGTCAATTTCATTATTTAATACGCTTAAAAATTATTCATCTTTTTACTGAAGGCGCTTATATTTCAAGTTTGATTGATCTGTATATAGGTGACAAATTGAAAATATACCAACAATTACCAACCATATCATCTATTTCTAGTATATGAAGTCCATATTTTCTTATATCTCTCATTATTAAGCAGTAAATAAATGCAGCATTAATTTATCAAATGTATTGATAGAAAACGAAATGTAAGAAGAAATTTTATTTTGACCTTAAAACTGCAAAATTACAGTAGTTTATATTCTCTTTAAAATTATGATTTTTATTTTCCAATGTTCATGCAGAAATGCTATTGATAATATCATGGTGATTTTTGTATAAAAATTGTGAAAGCTGGCAAAAAACGTTGCACTATCACAGATGTGCCTCCAACTTTAACAATACGCATGTTCACTTCCTAAAATGTGCTTTTTCCGGTATAATTACCTATTTCTGCGACATTTATAAGCTTGTTATGTGTCCCTTCACACTCTTCCGTCCGGTTACCTTGGCATTGTATAGTACACTTATTATCCAGCATTTTGTCAGAAACAGACAGTTCCTTGAGTCGACAATAGCACACCTTGTCCTGAAAAATGTTAACATGGAAAAACAAAAGAAAATACTCCTTGTTATATTCAAGATATTATTTTTATAAAGGTCATTTGAAAAATGTTTTCATTACCATACTACGTATGCGAACATTGTCTACCTTAATATACAGCTTATACTTATTCCCATTGTTTGACTAAAATTTCAATATATCTGTGAATTTTAAATTTTGAACTCCTGAGCTTACCTTATCAAAGACATATTTTTCATTTAACCAATTGTTAAAACAACTTGTAATATATTGACTTGGGTATGAGCATAACTTATCTTAAACTGCTGAAAAAGTACACCAATCTTTTATAAACTAACGGATATAGTAATATAACTCGCATAACCGATAGTCATTTCTGGGAACTAAAAACATCTTACTTTTGAATGATACTTGCAAATATAGTTCGATGCAAATAAAAAAAAAAATCATAACCTTGATAATTTGTTACTGTCGGGTTGTCGATGTTATGTCCGGTTTATCGTTTCAATGTCTCCAAACCTAGTGCTAAAGATCCATCAATTTTTCTTGAACAAAAACCAATAGTTTATATATCTTAATATTCCAGGTGATTAACAATTATTAATTGATCAAATTTGTTTTTATCAATATATTTATTCTTTGTCCTATTGTCAAAAACATTTTGCTTCATTTCTTGTTCTGTTTATCTAATACAGTTTATGACAAAGGTCTTAATCTGAAACGTCATTGTCATAGTTCAAAGATCACAAATAAACAGACCCAAGGTCTATAATAACTTTGGGTTAGGAGTTATACTCACAAGCTTCTTGTTCTAAATATTTAAGAGAAGCAATCCTCTATAAAAGTCACAAATGATTAATAGCGACAAATTTGGACAGACACTGGAAAAAGAACTATGCTGGATAGTTAAAGACATTTTGCTTGTAAGGATTTAACGACCAGACAATTCTTCGAACTTATACATTCAGAACAGATACAACAAAAATTCTTAAGCATGGCACTACCGGAATGAGACTACTCCAAGGGTCACCATAGTTATATTTCCAACTAAACCAACTATATTGTTTATAAAAAAGATTGTCAATGTGGCATTTTGCTTCTATCTAATTTTTCATCTTTTTGCCCATAGACGCCATATCGAAAGACTTTAGATTTAAGGTTTGTGAATATGAATAACAGCGATAAAAATAAATGTCCAATGCGTCAACTATTAAACTGTTATAACTTCATGCGGAAGAAACCTTTAAGTATGTCCTGAATCATTAAAAAATTCAAACGGCAAAGACAAAAAAAAAATGCTTCCACATGAATGTTGTAATACTCAATGAAATCTGAACAAAATAAGGGTAATATTGAAAGCCTCAACAAACAGAACAAATTTGAAAGGTCTTTCCAAAAGAAATGCGGAAAGACCTAGTTATCGACAAAAACAATTAAGGTTAATATAAGGAAAGATTGACACACGTAATAATAAAATGTAAAGTTGTCTGCAATTAAGGCCACGTTTTGCATTTTCTTTGACTACACATGTCATTTGATAACTAAAAAGTAAAATAATAAAAATACCGACTCCAAGAAAAATTCAAAACGGACGGTCCCCTATCCTGTAAATAGACCTGTTAAAATGACCAAGCAATGGGTGAAACACCATGACCCAAAATGAATTAGTATAATAAGAATTGAATCAATATATTGTTTTTAGTTTTATTGGATACCAATTAGCGCTAAGTATATTTAACCATCGTTTGAAATCCAGAGTCAACAAACATATTTTGAAACTTCCAATTTAGTATTAAATCTTATATAAAGAATTATTCCTCTAGGCTTTCATCGATAAATATGTACTCCTGCCAATGTAGGTTAAAGTAAAAAAAAAGTCATTTTATACCAGGGACAAAAGAAGTGCTTTGTGTATAACCCTCATCAATTATGTTCCAAAGTCTCAACACTTCTTGATCGGAACACTACCAAAAACCAAATAATCATAAAGTATGATGTCTGTCGGCTTTAATTTAAGTAAGTGCGACATAAATGATATACATGCAGTAATAAATGTTTATTTTTATATTTCAATACCATTTGGTCAGATGGTACTGGTACTATTTAATAACACACAATGATTCAATTTCTTGTTTAAATGATATGTAATTGTACTTAAATGTAACTAGAAACTCCAATATAGCCCAAGTTGGCTATTGACTGTATAGTTCTAATAATGATGCTGTTGTTTTTGTATGTTCAGAAACTTTTTCTTTTTTTTTTAGCTTACCAAGATTTTGAAGCCGAATGAACTGGATTTAGGAAGAATATACACTGTATCATGTTTATGAAAAAACAACTTAAAGATATTATTAAAGGTAAAATAGACTTACGGATGTTCCATAATACCGATAACGTGCAAGAGTTTGTTTACACTGGTATTCACACAAAATATGATCATTATCTTTATCATTCGTACGAATATTTATCCATGACGAGTCTAATTTATAACATGATGTAACCACTACACAATCTGCAAAATGAGACAATGTGCATATGATACTGATGCATTTACATCGATTTGATTATTTCCTTTTTTTGTGTTGTCCCTTTCATACATAAACCTTGGACATTGAATATAAATCAGTATTGAACAATTATTTTTCTAAATTCAAATTGCCTTTGAAGATCTATAAAAATATAAGAGTTCTTAATTTGCTTTCTACAAGGCAAACTGTTCATGGCATGATTATTGTGTACTTCGTCGGTAGGTAATCTTTAGTTTTATTATTCTCTTCCCCTTCAACCTCAAAGCTCGGCAATTAAACAGTGAATATTTGGTAGTGAAGATTTGCAGTACTATTCTCGTTTTATTTCCATTAACTGACAGCAATTGTGTAAATTTCCCAATAAATAGGTTTGGTTGAATTGGGTATTATGTATGGTGTATATCGAACTTGTTTGTAAGTAATGGGCAAACATGTATGAGTCAAATGGGAAAGGTGCAATGGAAGTGGTGTATGGTATGGTGTATTATGAATTGTGTATATTACAGGTAGTAAGCTAATTTCGATATGTCTTGTAGTAATCTGAATTCGTCACTTGTGTCATAGATCTTAGTTTTAATTCGCTTATCTGTGTCGATTTGAAGAACAGATATCATATTATAAGGAAAACATTCTAGTGTCAATGATATCTTAAGTGTGAAGTTCACTTTCGTTAATGAGATTCTAACACTTGATAAAGGACTGATTTATTGAACGACAGGATATCTTCTGAATACCTGAAAGTGAATAAATCAGCTTGGCCAAATTTTTTTTGTCTTTTTCTAAAATATTGTTAGAAAATTAGTGGGTCTGACAATGGAAGCCGTAATGTCTCCATCTCTTTCAGATTGCGACTACCGATAATGAAAATCTTATGAACAAACCTAAACGAACAACATCATTTTGCAAAATTTTAAAACCATTCTTATTTCAATTTCCATTGCCTTAGTTTATAAATAGATAATCCTGAAATATTATTTATTCTTAACATATCCTAGTCTGTTTATCAACATTCGCATATAGAGTGAATGCACTTTTTTTAACATACAAAAGTTCAACAAATTAACGGTTTTATGTATCTCGTTATTATATTGAGAAAAAAGGTAAGGAGGACTTTACATATAAACATCACAGACTTCTAACTTTCTAACTCCATTTTGATAGCTATTTGTCAGTCAATCATGTTTGCATTTTATCCCAAATTTAACTACTAAATGTTTAATACGATACTTTCATATATAGTATATACGTATGGCACCAATTTTGATTATATTAAAAAACAAACAGAACATTCAGAACATTGATTGAACAACTAGGAGTAACAAGGAAAAAATCGTCTTACTCGTGAATTGTAAAACAGCGGAATTGGAATATGACTCACATTTACTTTCTTTCTTTTGATCAGACGACTTTGCTGATGTCTTGATTTCTAAAACCACGTCGCTCGAGAGTTTTGATCGCCGCATATAGTGTCTGTCAAACAATTAACAAACAAAACGTTCAAGGATTGATTTGTACCCAGTTGTATTTTAACGAGTCGTAACCTATTATACAAACATCAAAATAGTTTACAAATGATCTTACTTCTCCTAATGAACCACTATGCAAACCCTTCTGCAACTCAAACTTTTCACTTGAGGTCACTCCCAGTATTTGGTGGGGTTCCTGTTGCTCAGTCTTTAGTTTTCGATGTTATATTTTGTGAACTATTGTTGTCTTTTTCTTTTTTAGCTATGTCATTGTCAGTTTATTTTCGACTTATGAGTTTGAATGTCCCTTTGGTATCTTCTCTTTATCTATAACTTTCAGCTCTCTTTTTTAAACAAATCCCAGGGATTAGGTTGTTGATCTCGAACAGTTGTATTCTATACCTCTTAAAACATTTTTGTGACGTCTTTCTATTGTTGTACCCGTTCTTGATTTCAGTGATTGGACTATCATTTACCTGTAAGAAACCACTATGCTACCTTTATCTGTCGAATTTTTTTTAAGAATAACCCTCCTCTTTCTTAGAAATATTGGACAGCTGAATAAATGACAATTAGACAAAATCATTTTATTAAAGTCACTTTCCAATACAATAACTTTGTCACTCAACAAGACGGTTTCTTGTGAAAAAAAGTACTCTCAAATTGATTTTAATACTGCCAATACTTATTCCACAGCCATTTTCTCATGTTTTGGGTTATCTCTTTTAGCACCAATTTGGTTGAGAATGCTCGTTGTAAGTTTTGTTTTTTGTTGCTTTTAGGTATTTATTGTTGCAAAAGATTATCCTCGTCCGTTTAGGATATAAACATTGACCTATGGTGTTGCTCTCATTCTTCCTAACATCAATTTCAGCTACAATTAAAATGAAAAAATCAAATAATGCTTCTAATGCTTGATAGATCATGTCGCAATTCAAGGACCACAAGTAAAACAATTGTATTACATGTTTCATAATCAAGATTAAATGGTTCATCTGAAGTAAATGTTTTACCAAGTGTTGCTGTGCAAACCACATATTGTTCCTTGTACAAAATAGCTAATCAAGAATTTGATTTACAACCTAAACCACACTCTGTGTACAAAGGACAAATCGAGATCTTGCTTCATGAACAAGGGGACTGTAATAGTTCTTTTATGATTTTTTTAATCGGATATCATTGCCTGTATAGAAATATAATGCAAAATTTCGCTTATCAACGACAATGAATATGGAAAGCTGAATAAAGAAACACGTGACCGCAGGTTATCTGTTAAACAAATCAATCATGTGTCCGATTTGCACTTTGTTCGTAGTGATCGTTTTTTTGTATTTAAACCGATGTCCTCTCTTGAAACTAGATAAAGGTAGGTGCTAGATTTAATCATATGTTTGTTAAATAAGTTTGAGACAGTTTGATATAAATTTGAACATGAAACCCTTTCCTGCATTGAATTGATTGAAAAGGGGGATTAATAAAAGTAGTTTTACTTTATATAACATCAAAATACGAATTACATTTGTTTCTTTCCAATGTACTTTTCGAACAGTCTCAGACACTTTCCTTTAGTTTATATCTTATAGGTAAAATTGACTGAATGCAATAATTATACATTAAGCACAGAAACAACGATATGTACACCTACAATGCTTTCTTTTGCAAGAAAAAAGAAAGCATCATTTGTAAAGGGAAATCGAGAGACAAAATTATGTTCCAGTAACATGAAAGGACACAGGGGACATTAATACGCAAACAAACAAAAATAAGAGCAACACGACCTTGCAGAAAAAAAACAGTAAACAGGGGGATATTCAGGTGGTACCGTTTGGGTTTACAATAACCGTCTCATGCAAGACAACCACCGAGTCGAGATAAGTTTTGGTGAACGAGGAAGGAAAGAAGGGGCCTGTATCATACTGTCATACGGGAAAATTGTGAATATATATTTTTTTCATGTATAGTTGGTGAATAGGTCTGATCAATTTATTGATCTCCCGACAATTCATGGCGATGAGTTTATATATTATAACTAAATTAATTCATTTTTAAATTAAAAGATACAATATTTGAATCTTAATTTTCTTAAAATTCATTAAATTACTATAAGATGGGTAATTCCGATGAACAACAAAATAATTTAAATTGATTGCACGCTTGTTATCTCTTTATTTGTGCATATTCATTTTATTTTATAGTGTTATATTTGAAATGAATTGATTGAAACTTTTTCATCAACGTGACCTGTCTTCACATGTTTTTCTTTTTTGTCATTCACCTAATGAGAAATAAAACCCTTGAAAAAATAAGGAAGTAATAGGAGATAACTACAGTTTAAAATCTATATATAAAACTTGCCATTATTAGCTGTTATAACTATATCCTCTTCGTTGTCCGCACTGAAATCGAATATATCTGAATACCCATTAGATCCTAATCCAAAATTTATAACAACACAATCACTAATTACGACATCACTTTCTTCGTTGTTTTGCATTAAGAATATACTTCCATCGTCTTTATCAATTTGAAACACCAAACACATGTGAAGGTATTCACAGAAAATATATAAAGTAGTACTCGCGCATGCAAAAAGCATTATACATGTGATACGCATACACTGTGTCTACATGTACATTTAGCAATACATGTTGCTAACCTTCAACTATACTTTATTTTTGTTTATTATTTGAAATTGAGCTACTGTTTAAAGTGACCAACATGTAGGATAATTCATAATAAAGTTTATCCACAAAACTATTTACACACTTGAAGAACAAAATCTTAACAACAATTTGCATTTGGTTGCTTTTTTTTTGCCTTTTGTTGACATGTTAAACAATGTTTTAAGTAAGATATAAGACTCTAACAGTCCGTTCTGTAAGATATTGGACATGTCAGGCCAAGTAATCACTAAAGCACTACTAATGACGATTAAACTCATCTAAATATAAAACTATGGAACCATACCTGTATCAGAGAAAATATTTTTAAAGTGTCGTAAGCGCATTTTATATATTGAATTAAAAAAAAAATCGTTTCAATATCTCTGTTTTATTCACTAACTCACCAATAACTGTTTTTTTTTTAATCATAAACTGTCTTACATTATTCATCCTTTCATAAATGGTCGGATTGATTTAGTTTGATAATAAAAAAAATTGAGCGTAATTTGCTCCAGTGGAATTCAGAAGAACTGTATGTAAAAGCTATAAAATACATGAAATTTAGATATAGGCAAATTAAAAATCGACATAAATTCTAAATCATTATTTTGAAAAATTAAATATAACTGATATTTAACGAGTTGAGGATTTTTATAATCTTACCTGAAGTCTTAGGGTAAATAACTGAACTAACTAATACCATAATTATTACTGAATTATTCATATCAGCATTGACAATAGTACACGTCTATTCGTTTTGAAAAATATCTCAATACAAAATTCAAAAATCAAAAGTTTAATTTCCAAAATCATGTTGCGCAGTCTCGGTGTATCTTGTAATTACGCCTTGTCATATCGGATGTATGAATCATAGTTACGTTTCCATAATGCAAATTGTGTATTTAAATTTGCAAGTACTTCCTTGCTGTTATATTAATTTGTATTCATGTTTGGATCGAAAAACAGAATTTGATAAGAAAACAAAAGTTTACCAAATAAAACATTTTCATTTTTTAATAGCTTCTCGATTTAAAATATTATGCTATATTGAATAATTAACAAAGGTATTCCGATATCAAAGATAATAGTATAATTATAAAATAGACTTGTACAATCATAATGAAAGCTATTGATCTCATTCCGGTGTTTAAAACATATAAAAAAATGAAATGTTTTTTTTTTTAGAAAAATACAATCTGTCCATGGGTTTCAAATCAATTGTAGGAACGAAATATATCATTAATCTAATTTACTTCTTCCGTTGGTGAACACGTACCTTACGTTACATACAGTATTTAAAATACCAGATACGCATTTAAAACATAAAAAAGCAAATATTAATTGATTGTTCTTTGCTTAATGTCTAGTGGTTCCACACAGAGAAGGTATAAGAATGAACAAATGAGGATTGAAATTATGGTTCTTTGTAAATTAAAGAAAAAAAGACACGGCAAAAACACCTAATCATACAACGAAACACTACACAAAATATTTAGAATAAATCAGCACGAACTCGTTTGAATAAGAGCTGACAGTAGTTTACTGACGTTAAAATATCATTAATTCATTCGGACAGAATTCAAGGTAATAGGCAAATCTGATAGAATAGCGTAACAAATAACAAACCTGATGCGCCCACAGGATATGCGTCTCATGATATGTATGTCTGACCCCATCACGAAAATACACATTAGATCGAAATGTCATATAAAACCCCAGTTTAACAGACTCTTGACAGAAACAAACATAATGTGCGGGGTTAAACATGTATGCGGGCGAACAACCTTCCCACCTGGACAGTGTAAAAGAAATTAAGAAAAACCTATCAAAATCAGTTGATAAGGGCATGACTCATCAAGTCGACCAAAACCACAAAAACAACTAACAAAAAAGACACAGAGTACCGATCCGAGAGTACTATTAGTTATAAATAAATTAGATGCAAATTATTAAAATGCTCGTTATTGAGTGACAATGCAGTTTATGTAGTATTTTGTTTTAAACGTATATTATTAAAAAAGCGATCTAGTTGCTTTTGGAGTTGATGTGATTCCACTAGCTGTTTTCACTATATTTGTTTATAAGAAATGGATTTGCGATTTTTTTTCTAATTATGTTAATGTATGTAAACGATAAAACTTGTTGAAAATGATTGACAAAACAAGCAGAAAGATCAATAAAACGGACTCCAATTACGGCTTAGTTAGATGCTCTGATTACTTGAGTCAAATTTCATAAACGAAAAGCCATATGGTAAATGGAAACAATTCAATTATTTATTTGAAATTAGTATAGTGATATCTGAGACTTCTTAACAGTAATACCATATGTAACAAGTAACATGAAAAATGAAATATTATAAATATTAATAGGATACCATACGTTAGATACTTTCAGCTCCTGTTACAAAAAAATATAAATGCACTTTCCCTCAAAATTAAATGTAGACATTTACATGTTTTGCACGTACAATTGAAAAATAAATGCAGTGTGCTTGATATTGATTTAAAACCCAACACAATGTTTTTATGTGGTTATGTATTTGAAAGTACTGAACTATATTTCCTCTCATGTCAAATTTAAACAGCTCACAGACAAATCGTGTTTTTACTTGAAAATATTTACCTACCGATAAGGAAACTATGATGTATGGAAAAGCATGTTTGATAAATACAAGAGCAGGTGCATTACAATGCAGAACTACATTGTTTTCAAAGTGTTAAGACTTATTAATAATTATATAACGTTTAACTTTTTACGAATTTGTTTGATCAATTTAATCAATGACATGGATCATCCACATGAATTATAGGACATTCTACTATTTTGATAACAACAATTGGTTTTGCTTTAAAGTAAAATCCTACATTCAGACTAACTGTTAATTTCCAACGTATAGTAATTATCTTAATAGATTATCTTTGTATATTGTTTTTGCATGCTTGATCGTGATTGTCGAGATGGATGATAACGGTAAATGTTTGAATTCTTTACCAGAATTACTTTATTGATATTACAGCGAGGTAATAGTTGAGCTACGTGTTAAAGGCGTTACTGTGATTTTGGGTCATGGGTGGAAGCCCAGATTCTTTTTTTCTCTCTACTAGATGACGTAAACTTTCTTAAATCGTGGTGCTTGTAATTCGGTGGAGTCTCATGCAGTCAGTTTTGCGGCTTTTTGTTCTCTTTTGAAGTTGAAAGTAACGTTGTAATCTGCGTTAGATTTGACATTTTAAGTTTTGAAAGTGGAGTTGGTAAATAACGAAAATACTAAATAGTGATGAATGGTTTACGTCTTGAGTAGTACTCATCGTTTTGTTTATAAACTGATCACTTAACAATTATCTTCTAATACTTACATTGATTTGTATTGTACGTGTACATACAAGTCATGTAATAACATCCTTTGTTATGTTGCTTTTTAAGAGTCTAACATGAATTGTTTACATACAAAATGTAGCATGTTACTTATATTGTGAAAACAAAGGAAATGAGGAAACGCTTCAAAAACTAATTCTTATAGCTTATAGCTTATGACAAGCAAGGTTAACATTGATTAATAAAAGTTTAGGATTTGTGTTTTGATCACGACTTAATCAAAGTAGCAGAATAATTTTCTGTCTGTTTACTTATTAAAAGTTTTGATTTACAAACGTTGCGTAGATGGTCGATGAGGTTATCCTGAAAAGAATAAGAATGTACCAAAGGAGCAATTGAAACCCATTAAGCACCAAGAGCACTTTAAAAATCCAGGGTTTGAAAATTCAGATTTGATTGGTAGAGGGAAACAAAAACAAATGTTATTAAAAGTGAGTTATGCATATCTGTAATCTGAGATTTCCATGGAATTAATTGATAGCGTCTACAGATTACGGGGGAAAGGAAAATAGAATATACTAAACGGAAATTATCTCGTAATGTGATGGTTGTTTAGTTACCATGAATAATTAATAAATCAGTAGCTATTACTGAATAAGTCAGGAATCTGACAGTTGTTATCAATTCGTTTGATGTGTTTGAGCTTTTGATTTTGCCATTTGATTAGGACTTATATCTAGAAATTGACTATGGGGGTCGGTTGAAAACACAACTTAACGACAAAAGGGATGATTTCAGCTTCGTAATTGTGACCTTTTCATTTTTAAACCAATAGATCCAAATGGTGAGGTTGTAATCATCACTTCGTAAATATTACGGACGCCATCACGAGTTGGTTGACCGTTATGGAATATTCGTTATACAGATGATATCGGATATGTTTCTTATGTCGTAACTACAATCCCCTTCCCTTTTGACGAATGTGACCTACCGAGTTAGACTATTTACCGGTTTTGTAACAACATGAGCAACACGAAGGGTGCCTCGTGTGGAGCAGGATCTGCTTCCCCTTCCGGAGCACATGAAATCACTCCTAGTTTTTGGTGGGGTCCGTGTTGTTTTTGAACCCCTATTTGTGACATTTTGTTCACACATCAATGTCAATATAATGGAAATTGATGCGACTGTCGTACAAGTGAGAGGTTTAGCGCTGTAAAACCAAGTTCAATCCACCATTTTCTACATTTGAAAATGCCTGTACCAAGTCAGGAATATGACAGTTGTTGTCCATTCGTTTGATGTGTTTCATCATTTGATTTTGCCATTTGATTAGGGACTTTCCGTTTTGCATTTTCCTCGGAGTTCAGTATTTTTTTGTGATTTTACTTTTTACTAAAATTATGTCGATTTTATGAGCGTTACACATGAACTGTATATATGACCAGTGACTGATGCTGTCTGGTAATCTCATATGAACGTAATTATTTCTCTTATGCAAGGATAAAATAAATGACCATCGATTTATTCGAAAATGTTCGTCTTTTACTACATGATCTGCATCAATGTGATTTCAAACGTTTGAAAGCTTTTTAATAATTGCTGACTGATTTGCTAACTATATGTTTTTAACAAATTAATTTGATAAGGATACACTTTTGTGTTCAGAAGTACATGTGTTTCAAGAAATTAACTTATTTCCACAAGTTCCTGTTATACCCCTTGCAATCTCTCCTGGAAAAAAAATAATATTGAAATTATGAATTGTATACTTTATAATTAGTCGATAAGATCCGATCAACAAAAACCTTCCATTATATGCAGTTACACGATACTGTATTCAACCTAATTATTAAGTTTGAATCTTAGATCTCTTGTATTCACTACAAATTAGTAAAAATCTGAAAAAGCCTATATCTGTACTCGGTTTAGTTTTATAAATTGTGACTTGGATGGCGAGTTGTCTCGTTGGCACCCATACCTCATCTTCTTATATCTATCGACTGTACTGATTTTTACTTGACAAGTCTGAATTGGTCTGAAATTTACTTGATATTACTCGACTGAATTCTGAACCATATTTAACAGTCTGAACTTGCTCTCGACCTTTACTCGATCAGTACTTAACAATTTTATAAGTGTCTGAACCACTTTAGACCAAGTCTGAATCTTGCTCTACCTAATCTGAACCATACTCTACCTAATCTGAACCATACTCGACCAAAGCTTAACCAACTAAGATCTATTT